GTGAGGGGCTGGAGAGTGGTGGATTCATTGGCACAGGGGCTGCTGGCACTGGACAACAACCCCAAGTGCAGGGGATGAGGCAGCCACACAGACAGAGCAGTAGTACAAGGAGGGCAGTACAGCAACTGAAACAGGCTACCCACAGAGGTGGTGGAATCTCCATCCTTGGAGGCTTTTAAGATCCAGCTAGACTAGGACTTTGGCTGGGATGATATAGTTGGTGATGGTCCTGCTTTGAGCAGGGGGTTGGACTAGATGACCTCCTGAGGTTCCTTCCAACCCTAATTTTGTATTCTATGATTCTACATTCAGGAAGTACAGGGGCACAATACATGTGAATTGGACTTTACTCATTCTCTTATATCCAGTATCAGATCAGCTGGTTTGATCCTCTGCCTCCTTCATTCCTGATTTAACAAACGTTAAGAAATTTTATGTCTGTTAAAAACTGTATTTTAAGCCCTTTCCATGAACTCAACCAATAGCTGCAGTTGGTGCCAAGGGTGCCATTTAGGAAGATGGAAGGATATGACGATTTAAATCTTAACTGGAACAAAAAGAAAAAGGTTGATTAATATGCAAAATGTTAAAGGCTCTAATTCAGCTCTGTCTACTTCATTGAAGCAAACAGTGAGGACCCCTTGGCATATATACCCATAATGGATCATTTGCACCTGAAAGTTTAGAAGTTCTAGAACAGGGGTCTGCAACCTGAAGTTGGCAGGCTGGATTCAGTCCATGAAGAGACTGGATCTGGCTTGTCAGCTCAGGGAACTGGTATCAGGCTCTAGCCAGGGCAACAGAAGAGACATCTCCAGAGTCCTACTGCCTGCCATGTTCAGTTTATTCTCACTGAAACAGCAGAGGTTGCATTTCCTGGGATCCTAATGCCTGCCTTTTTCTATCTAGTCCCCTGATTGCCAAGGAGTACAGGAGTGTGGATAGTGCAGGGTTGCCAACTGTTCATAAATGTAGGGGACAGTCCATAAAAAAAAAAAAAAAAAAACCTGGCTAGAAATGCCTGTCTGTGAAGTCTGTAAAAAAATGGAGCTATCCATAAAAAACTAAGAAACTACCCAGCTTTTCTAAATGCCATCCAGATCCTGGCAAAAGGGTTACATTTATCCTATGTACATGTATCAGTAAAAAAAATGGTTGTCAGTAAAAGGTGTGCAGATTGTCAGAAAAAACCTTCTTGGGTTGGGAACACTGGGCCTGCAGCAGGGGCTAGGTTGTAAGCAGCAGCCCATAGTGACAAAAGGTTGTCAATGGTCTATAATGCAGGTAAATATTTGAAATGGCTTGGGAAATTATGCTGAAGAGTTTTGAATGAATATTTCAGTTAGAAGTTGATAGGTGCAGCTACTTAAAGCAATGAAGAAAACATCCCTTTACAAGTAGGCCTTATTTCAGAGATTTTTGTCTTTTCAGGACAGAAAATACCAGGCGGGATTAGATGCAAAAATTAAAATAAAGATTAATTCTTCCCAAAACAAATAATCAGCCCTCAAAAGGAAGCTGCTCATTTAACTGTTCACATTCGACTTATATAGTCACAGAATATTGACAACATCTCTTACTGAACTGAAGTTGTACAAAAAACTAGAACAGGGGTGTACTTGGTAGCCATGTTAGTCTGAGACAAGACGACCAAGAGTTCTTTTAGAACCAAGAGTTCTAGTTTTTTGTATGTCTTCTTGTCTCAGACTAACATGGCTACCAAGTACACCCCGACCCACGGAAGATGCCGAATTCGTGCCGATTTTAGATTTTAAACTTCAGTGTAGAACAGTAGGAAAGAATTTTTTACCTCCTGCCTGCCATCTGACACCCCCAGGGAAGGAATGCTACCTGATCTACACATCAGAAAGCTACTCAGCATAGCTCACAAAGACACTCTCATAGACTCACAGGGACAGCCTTCTATCTTTAGCTCTCTCTGTGCAAACATCAAGTTTATTTTCTACCTATGGGGACTTTTTACAATGCTGCACCATCTATACTTTTCCCAGAGCCCGATGAAGGGACTTTGACCACAAAAGCTTGTAAGAAAAGGACAATTTTCTTGAGATTTCCCAGTTGGTCTAATAAAAGGTATCATTTTGGAACCAAGAGTTCTAGTTTTTTGTACGTATTCTTGTCTTAGACCAACACGGCTACCAAGTACACTCCTGACTTATTGAACTGATACATTACAAATGTGTGTTTTGGAGATTAATGTGTATTAAATATAAACTCTTTCTTACTGATTTTTTTTGTTTTTAAAGATCATCACTAGCAACTGAAAGTACTCAGCAAAATTTATTTATAGCAGTTAAATTGTCATGACAAGTTTCTCATCTAAAAGCCTGATAAAATGTTTCAGTTGTCATCATCATATACACTAAATTCCTGTCTACACCAGATGCACTGGTGTTAGCAGTGGGGGCAGCTACATGACTGCTGAAAACAGTTTAACAGTGCGCGCATCTACATGTGCATTAGTGAGCCTTTTCCAACACACATTAAATTTAGTACAGGTTTCCGTCGCTTTATGTGGGTTCTGTATGTGTGAATTTCCTCGTATGCAATGACCCTTTTTATACCAAAATATGCAAGGTAAATTCACTCTTATGTGATTGCTGTGGTGGAAGCCTGCAGTCAGCTGCTCTGTGTAGTCCATTGTGGGAGTGACACACACCAAAATATAATCTCCTGTGTGGATCTGTGCTCCTTGCTCGCTGTCTGCAACACGTGTTTCTGTAGTTGCCATCCCCATTATGGCTTCTAACCGTCCTGCTAGCTTATCTCCTAGTCCATCAAAGAAGAGCAAGAGAACTTCACTAACACTGGAGACAAAACTGGAGATTTTGAACTGTGCAGAAGCTGGTGAGGGGCCCTCTGCACTTGGTCATGCATTCAACCTGGGTGAGTCAACCATATGTGCCATCAAGAAGAATGCTGACAACAGAAGGAGTTCTGTGATGCATTCTACACCACGTACTGCCAAGATAGCAGCAAAAGTAAGGAACCAGCTGTTGGAGAAGATGGAGAAGATGCTGGGGATGTGGGTGGAAGATCAGGCCCAGAGGAAGATGAATCTTTCCTCTGTTGCGATAAGGGGTAAGGCCCTGCAAATTTATGGCTGCCTGCTTCAAGAGGATGGTGGCCCTGAAGAGCCCTTCAAGGCTAGTAAGGGCTGGTTTGACAAGTTCCTTCGGTGTATGAACTTGCACAATGTTAAGATGACTGGGGAATCTGCAAGTGGTGATCATGAAGCTGCTGCAAAGTTTTCTGAGGGGCTTCAAGCAATCATAGCTGCGGAGGGGGTACAGTCCTAAGCAAGTTTTCAATGCAGATGTGAGGTACTAAATTAATGCACATTAGGCTGTGCTAATGTGTAGCAGTGCATTTGTGTGCTTTTTTAGTGATGCTTAATGTGCAGTAGACTATTTTACTGAGCATTAGTGTAATGTCATTTTTTATGTGACATTTTAATGATCAGTAAAATAGTCTACTGTGCATTAAAGGTCAAATGTAGACATGCCCAGTAAGTATTAACCTGCATCCTAAAGGGTGGTTGGCCCTATTACCTAAGACCATGTTGAGCCTTGAGATTTGACACTGTCTACTTGCGTAGTTAAACTGTTTCCATTAACCCATTGTTAATACTTATCATCAAGAGGTATATTTCCTAGTGTGGTGAAAAGGCGTCTCTCAGGTTGACAACTGGAGCTTTCACCGTGCACTGTTTGTTAGCATCCAGGCTCCAAAATGAATGCATGGTATCAAGGGTATACACATGTAAATTAGAAAACAAAATGAATAGCCAGGACTAAGGCCACGTCCACTGTACTCTTAGGCATGGGCCAGTGATTCTCAACCAGGGTCCTTTCAGGGTGCCATGAGGTGCCACACAATGTTAGCACCATTACATGTGCAAGCATGATTCATAGAAATTTTGAATAGGAATCCACAGTGTAAAAAAAAACATTCTGCCTTGCTGTGGTCTTTCTTAGTTCTTTGCAACAGAAAAAATGCTCTACTATTTTTTCATAGTAAAAAAAAAGTGGAAACTAAGAGCTGGCATTTTCCAAGGGGGGTGGGGAGGGGGCTGGCTTGAGTCTATTGAGGGCTACTTTGCATCTAGAAAGGTTGAGAATCACTGGCATAGGCAGGTGAACAACTGTATCATCAAAGGACACTGAAACAAGCTGTTAGGATGCAGCTGTTATGCCTGCATAATTCTGTAGCAATACAAGCACAGTAAAAGCTGCTTCAACTTTAATCCTGCTTCATTTAAAGTCAAAGTTAGGGCAATTTAGCTTACCTGTATCACTAGGTTCCTGTACCTGTGAGTTACTGCACAACACCAGATGCCTGTTCCAGAGCAGCAGTTCCCCCTTCCTTTTTAAGCAGCTAATATGCTTGTCCTTGCCCTTATTCTCCTAAAATTTCAAACAACTGCTTTGCAGTCAAAAGCTCCACTAGTGGCAGCAATTTGGAAAGTACTGTTATAGACAAAATGCTAGGAGCCACCAGTATGCCACTGTGATGCCTAGACTAGTTCTGAATAGGGTTAGATGACCTGGTAGGTAAAATTCCAGCCAAGGATCCATACTCAGCCACCACTGCTATATGTGGGGCTATACTGTGGGTTGATGAATTGTAGGAAAAACAGCCTAATGTAGATGGCTTCTAAATTTGGAATAACAATAACTTGAAAGCTGGGAACAGTCTAAGGATTATTTGAGTTAAGGATTATTTCAGAACAGATGCAATAATTTTTGCCTTCTGATATTTAAATGAAAGTTTTCAATGTTTTTCCATGTACTAATTCTAAAAGTTACCAGGAGGGCATTGCATAAAGTCCTCAGAGAACCTGTGGGTGCCAAGTCATGTAGCAAAATTATACTTTTTCGAAACTTCTCCACCAGATGAGAGGTAATCAGCTGTCCAGGAGTTCCTGGGCTTCTTTCAAACACAAAAAGCATAGGTCTAGGCACACATTCAGCTCTAACCTTGTGCAAGTAAGAATTCCACTGTGCTCAGATGCCCTTCTGAAGCAGCCATCATCAAAGGAGTCCGACCCTGCTTGTCTGCCATGTTTACATCAGCACCATGGGTGAGTAAGAGATCGACAATCTGCAAACACACGCGCAGGAGACAGTTTATACAAAGAGGTTCTAATGGGATGAAATGAGAGCTGAGGAAGAGCATTGCTGGGCCCTTGCTTTGGAGCCTTATCCAAACCTTAGGTACAGGAGGAAGGGAATTGCTTCTTTGTGCAGGGGTTTTTGTTTCTGTGGCTAACTGTGGGATCTGGAAAGCCTGGCTCCTGATCTGTTCCCTAGGCTTTATTTGCTATTGTCTTTTAAAGTGATGTGTGGCAGGGGTGGTTCCCAGTACTTGGAAAATGTTCTTGTTTGCATTGGAAATGCTGTAATAACAGTCATGACAGTTCTAACAACCACTGTTCAGTTCATTCCACCATGTTCTCTCTTTCAGGGTGTTGCTACTGCATGCACCAGGACAGACACTGGAGCTTGTAAAGTGTCTATTCATTCTAACTACATAGAATTTTTTCAAAACTTTCAAAACACAGAACCTTTTCTGTTTAACCACAGCAATAACAGTCCATACTTGGAATAACCAAAGCACGCAGCATTGGAAATGAGGGTCTATAGTTTCTAAGGTGACTGATTTTTGATGTCCAAACTGAGACACTTTGAAGAGGCTTCATTTTATGTTCTTAGATTCTGGCCTCTAAAAATCAATCACCTTTATGATACATTTAGGCTAAAACTTTTAGGCCATGTGTAGACGAAACAAGGGGCGTGTGTGCACTACCCTTTAAAGCAGCCTAAATGCTTTTGCAGAGCTTTAATGGTGTTGGTGTTTGCATGCCTCAGCAGTGTATTGTGTATTAATTCCAGCTGCTGTAGGAAATTTGGCAGTGTAATGTGCCTTAAATGACTTGAGGCGCAGCAAACTAGAACTCCTGAGGAGTTTTAGTTTGCTGCCACTACAGCTGCAAGCCTAGCACCAGGCTCCATGCAGCTCCGCGGTGCTGCAGGAAGCCCTGTAGGCAGCCTGGCAGCAGCCTGGGAAGGCAGGCTCCACACAAGAAAAGTGGTGAGCCCTATTTTCTTTTTTTCCGCCCCCTGGAGCCTGTCTACCATGCAGAGGGGTTGCTGCTTCCCTTTGTGGCTGTGATGCCCCCTGGCACCACCTGAGTCGGGTGCCTGCATGCAGGTGCTGGCAGGGGGCAGGCCACTGCTGCCGTGGAGGGAAGCACCAAGCCCCCCTCTCCCCCCCCAAGCCCAGGGACCATTCTCCCCACTGGCAGCTTGCCCTCCCCTCCCCGCTGCCGGAGAGGCAGGTAAATCAAGTGTGTGCACGACACAGGGGTTTAACTGGCTCTAAATTGAAGCAGTGGTTTTAAAAACCCACCACTTCAATTTAGGGCCCCCGTTTCATCTACACATGCCCTTAGAGAGCAAGTCAAAAGCCTGGTGACATTAGTGAGTTGTGCTGCCATATACAAAGTTGGTATGGGGCTTTTGCTCTCCATTGGCAATACTAGACAGTAGAGTCCTGGTGTGGTTACCCATGTGTAGGTTGACTAGAGGGTGGAGTCTTTTAGAACAGGGTTTAATCAACTGGTGGGACGTGAAGGTCTAGGTGGGACTTAGGTCGTGGCAGCGAAACCATACGTGCCATGGCGGGACTTCCGGTTTCACTTTTGCACGCTTCGATCGGCCACTGGGGGCCCCCCCCACACTTGACTGCCCTCTGGGGAATCCCCTCACCGCTCATTGATTTTTTGACCTTACATAGGTGGGACATAAGGTGCAAAAGTTTGAGAACCGCTGTTCTAGAACATCTGAACTCCTAACCGTAATGATGTCATGACCTACTTTTAAAAGTTGAGCAGGCACAGTGAGTTGTTTGTTTGAAGGCCAAGTTGTTTGTCTGATAACCAGGGGAACATGACAGTTAGGACTGTTATGCTAATGAGTTATTATGGACTACTGTGACAGTTCGATTTGTATGGTCCTTACTGTGATTGACTTTGATTGACAGCAATCAGAGATTAACGACTGGATCTCCATTTGATGGACAGGCAGCGTGATTTGGCCATTATAAAAGACTGTCCAGTGCAGGGTCAGTAGGCTCTCTGGGGTCCATAGCGGCTTTTCGGGGTCGTTGTCAACGGGGTGGATCTCGCTGAGGCTTGTTCTGTCTCGTGCTCTCTCCCTCTTTGATTGACGTGTGTGACTAAATGTGCGAGTACAACTAGCATAGAACTGACTCAGCGTTTGAGTTGTGTTGGTTGTTTGGAACCCAGGGTTTATTGTCGAGCAAGTAAGAGCAGTGTGGGTGGCACAGTGTTCAGGAGCAATGACAGGAGGTTCCTGATCACCTGAGCGCTTGCCAGCCACTCAACTGTGTCATCGTGTCACACTGGTTGGGTAAAATATCACCCCTCTCTTTTCTGAGGTGCTCAATACCTACCTGAAGGAACAGCATAGAAATCTCTAGGGGTGTGAGGCTGCAAAGCAGGCCTTCCCTGTCCGTCAGCTCTCTAAGGTGATATAGTCTGCCACTAGGGTGGCCATTTGTCCAGTTTTATAGAGGACAGTCCGGTTTTCTGGTCCTCTCTCCTCTATTCATATGAAATCAGGTGACTATGTCCTGTATTTTTCACCACTCACCCCCCACAACTGCCGACACTGCTGTGGCTGCCTGCGGGAACTCCCGGCTTGCTGTTACCATACCCCCGCCACCAACACTGCCATCACTGCCTGCGGGAGCTCACCATGTCCCCCCAGCCTCAGGAGGCATGCAACATTCATAGTGTTGGTGACAGTTGTACTAAATGCAACTGCCCTCTATTCTTGAGGTACCTCGATGGCCACCCTACCTGCCATCTAGGGTGACAGATTGCTGTTAGGTTCGTTACCTGTATATTGTCTGTATAGTGTTTATAATACTGTTGTTATAATACTTTGTTGTAGTTGCTTCTTGTCATTATATACTCTTGTTGTTAAATTTTACATTTGTGTGCATGAAGTTTCCATTGATAGTGTTTGTACCTCTGGTCGGGGCTGGGCAGTAGACCAATTTCCAGAGGGGATTTAACTGTTTGGTGTCCCTCAAATCTAATAGGGAAGTTGGTACAGTATAGAAGCTTAACAACCCTCTGAGTGTATTTGAGAACATGGGTGGGTGCCTGAAGTGGTCCATGGGGTTCTCTGTTTTATTGTTGTGTCCTTGCCATCTTTTCTCCGCTCATCACTATGTCTGTGACAATCTTGAGAATTCAGAAAAGGTGGCCTTGCAGTTTGCACAGATGACTAGAAAGAAGATTGCAAGCTAAAATGAAGGTGTCTATGTGCAACTAAATTTCCATTGGTGTGGCATAGGGGTTAGGAGCTACTGTTCTGAGGTTAATGTCATGGACACTCAGGATATACACACAGGCCCAAAATGTAAGCATATATGGAATGTATATATGCAATTACATGGTTGGTAATTGGAACAGCTAATTTTTGATCAGCCACTGCCTCTGAGATGCCCTAGCAGTGGGGTAGCTGGAGAAATGCCCAGCTTTGAATGTCTGGCACACTAGCTATCAAAGTTAAAGCAGAAAAAAGGGATAACAAAATCAGAGGGGCAAAAATAACCTATTAACAGAACTCAAAAGCATTCCATCCACTGCTGACAAACACTCCTGATAGCACAGTCATTTATCAAAGTCTATCAGCTATAAACCTGGCCACAACAAGAGCTAGGAAACGTTAACATCCAATACAAGAACATGTGTGAGACCATGACACTATGTTTAGCTATGGTCAAATTCTTTAATATCCTATCTAGACCATTTCCACAGAGGGCAGGAGCATTCCCTCCCTTTCCATCTCTCTCTCGAATAATAGTGTGAGAGATTGTCCAGAACTGTAGCTGTGAAGTTTCTAATGGTTTGGACTCTCATGGACTTTCCCATTACAGTGGGAAACGACACTGGAGGATTTTGTAATGTCCCACTTTACCTGCCAGTGGCCTTGTCTCACTGCACTGAACAGTGGAACTACTCCACGTCGATTGGGCTGTGCCACAGCTGCTCCTTGCTCCAGAAGCAGCCGACAAACATCCAGCTTACCCCGTCCTGCAGCAGCTGTTAGGGCTGAAGGAAAAGAGAGAGAAGACATTTGGAGTTACTTTTCTCACTAATGAGAACATGCAACTGCTTTGTTACTTTCCATCAGTAAATAAAATGTGATTTAAGTTCAAAAGATTTTCTTTCGATTTTGCCAAGTGCAAGGAGCAGCTCAGCTGGGTATTTGAATATTACAGTGAAATAAGAAAAAAACCCAATAAAAACAAATGAAAAACAGTCATACAAAGCCAGGATCACCAAGGAATTGATCCTGTAAGAAGAAAGCCTGCCAGGCTCGTTTGTGGAAATTTGTGCATGCAAGTGATTTCTGCCTGTAATGTCAAATCCATGTTTCTTTTCTTGCTTGCCCCTCCAGAACATCAGCATTTTCCTCTTATTCTCACATTTTCCAGTGTTTTACCAGTCCCTCCTTAGGCTCTCACGATGAGCGGAGTTAAGAAGAAAGTCCTATCAAGATAGCCTGAATATTAAAGTAATTGCATTTGGTGCCTACATGCCAACACAATGATGATTGTAGGCAGGATGAAGAAAGAGAAAAGACAGATAGAGAGCCAGAGACTAGAACACATACTGCTCCTAATCCTCACTAGTCATTTATGTTGTATTTGCAAAGTTCAATTCTTTTTGCAAAGGCACATCCTGATTCATAGAAGTTGAATGATATATGACAAAAACCCTCATCATTTTCATCAGGTTATGAAGAATGTCTGCAGTAATCATCAGATAATTTACTGGTCTGAGTAACTAAGAAATTCAAGGCAGCACCACATGAAACAGTTTGCAGTGTCATGTGAAATCCTACACACCTCCCCTTTCACCTCCTGCAGTTCTTCTGCAAAGTGGATCACATGAGCCAGTGATTCTAACCCTGCATACACCACTGCTTGGGAACAATTTTAGTAGCAAACGCAAACTGCTGGGCACGCACTTTCTTTATATGCACTTTAAAGCCTTTCCATGAAGTTTAAGTTGCACTTTACTACATCACCAGGGAACTTAAATATCTGAGCTTCTTGAAGGAAGAAGAGAGAGAGAAGCAGGGAGGTGGGGGGGCAGTGCAGAGGAGCAGGGCTTATTGAAAGGCTGTTTCTTGCCAGCTGGAAGCTAGTGAAGTTTGTGGTTGTCCTTGTCAGGACTAGTGTAAAGCAGCATTATTCAGATGGGGATTTTTATTTTTAATATCCCATTTTAGTCTGTAAATCTTTGAAACTCCATCAAGGAAACAATTGGAAAGCAAGCCTAACATGCATACGCTCAAACATTCTTCAATTTAAATGCTAATTCTGGCCTTTGTTTCTGGGCCAGGCCAGAATCCACCAACAAATGCCTTTTTATGCAAAACCAAAAATTACCTTTAATTTTCAATATTACAAATGCTCTGGGTAACATGAACATTCCCCTTCCTGACAAAATGTGCATTGTAAACTCTGACAGCATGGCTGGGTTAGAAAAGGTGCATTCAATTTGAAAATAGATATTAGTGTAGGACTTGTCTTTTACTAGTCTTCAGTATTAATTTTAGATTTTTCAGTTCCTCCCTCCCCTCCTCAACTTCATGCATATTTCAGCAAAGCTCCTCTGGCTCGGTGCTCCACTGCTTCTAGCCGGAGTCTGAGCAGAAGGTGGGAGTCTATTTCTAGCAGATCTAGCTTGTTTATTCTTTGAAGTTTGTTTCTGTGGGATGGCTGATTAAGAGATGCTGATGGGTTTCCAACTGCAACACTGTTAATGGTGGTGAATACAGTCACTTCCAAATGCATTTTATTTTGCTCTCCCTTGGGCTGGAGAGGCACCAAAGAACAGCCTATCAAAAAACAGAACACCATACTGTCAAACCCATAGTCTTATGTGTAGCTGATGTTGAGATCCATGTGGATCTCAACATCAGCTACACATTCAGAAGACAGCCTGTCTGGTGGTACATGGTCACTTGCTGGACTTTTCCTACCTCTTTAACTACGCACCTTCTACCTCTCTTTCTACTTCTGCACTCTTCAGCCATCTTGACTGGGTATCACCTACCTGCTTTAATGCTGATATGCATCCAGGGGCTACTATGCAACACTCTACCTTTTAGGGAGTTAATACACACGTGTACTATGCCCAGTCACTGAGCAGTCATGCCTTGCTGCTCCAGCACTGTCCCATGCTGAAGCCTGGGATTTAGAATCATAGAAAAGTAGGAGTGGAAGAGTCTGTAGGAGGTCATCTAGTTCGGTCATTGTAATCTTATTGGGGTTCTGGGATGAAATGACCCAGCTTGCATTTGAGGTGGGCCAGCACTAGCTGCTACCCCCACCACTACTCCTCCCCACTGCTTGGCCACCTGGGTGGAACCCCCACCACTAGAATGCCACCAAAGGCTCCATCTCCATGGGCTTCATCTAATGGCTCCATGGGCCATAGGTTGCTGACTCTTGGTCTAGTCCAACCCCTGCGCCAGGTAGGATCATACCCACCTAAATCATTTTAGACAAGTAGCTGTCTACCTGTTCTTAAAACTGGCAAAATCATCCTTTACCTTGCCAAAGGTAAAGCAAGCAGAGAAGGGCGCTATCAATGCCCTGTCACTGCACAGTTAAGAAGAAGTTTGTTAAACTATGCTTGAGATCCACAATCAGTAGACTTCATTGCCCCCTAAGAAGACCATGTCCCAGCCCCTCTGAAGTCTGATCACCAACCAACTACGTCTAGTCCAGGGGCAGGCAATTATTTTGGGCAGAGGGCCGCTTATCGAGTTTTGGCTAGACATTGAGGGCTGCATGGGTAGGCCCGCCCCTTGACAGGGGCCCCACCCCCTGGTCGCCATCTTGGGACCACAAGTCCCACCCCCTAACCCCAGAATTTTGCCACCAGAAGTCCTTTCCCTTGCCCCCCAGAATTACTCCTTTCAGCAAGGTCCATCTCTGAACCAGAAAAATACCAAATTATAGTCTAAAAAAATCAAATGTGTACTACAACATTCATTAATTTCATTAAAAAAATATATTTTTGTCCTGATTTACATGTATTTGTAGTGTACGTACAGGTGATAGTATAATAGCAGGGTTCCCAGCTGCAAGGCAGGGGCTGGCACCCCACAGTGCAGAAGCCAGCCCAGCGTGCCCTTCCCCTCACCTGCATGGCAGGACCTGGCTCAGCCCCTCCTTACCTGCAGGCTGGCAGAAGCCAGCCCAGCCTCCCTTCCCCTCACCGTAAACCAGACCCATCCCACAAGACAGGACCTGGCCCACCCCATCAAGCCCGTATGGCAGCAAAAACTGGCCAACCCCCTCCTCCCCACCCCCTTTCCCTCACTGGCGCCAACATGACCCTGCCCATCCCAGCTTGCCCCCCGTGGCATGGCAGAAGCTGGCCCAGGCCCAGCTTTCCCTCACTGGTGCCAGCTCGGCCCCTCTGGTGCTGCTGGACCTGTCCCTCCCCAAGCAGCAGGCAGCTCAGCTTGCTCAGCCACGGTTTTTCCTCTCTGGTGCCAACCTGGCAGCACCTGTCCTGTCCCGAGCAGCATGCAGCAAAACTGGCCTACTTGCAGCTTTTCCACTTCACTCCTGTCATGGCTGGGACAAAGAGTCAGGAGGCTCAGCCACTGCTTTTCTTTGCTAGTGCTGACCCGGCTGGGCCCAGCCCATCCTGAATGGCATGCGGCCAAAGTAGGCCCCAACTGTGGCTTCCCCGTGTGCCACTCGGGACGGGCCTGGCTGAGTCAGCACCAGCCAGGAGAAGCTGTGGCTGAGCCACGTGCTGAATGGGACCAGCCCAGCTTGGCTGGAGTGGCACATGGCTCAGCTCCGCTTTCCCCTTCCTTGTGCCTGTTCTGGACAGTCCCAAGAAGCACGCAGCTCACCCACCACTTCTCCTCCTTGGTGCTGCTCGGGATGGGATGGGCCTGGCTGGGTTGGCATTGGTGAGAAGATGCAGCAGCTGAGCTGTGTGCTGCTTGGGCCCAGCTGGGTTGGCACCACGGAGGGAAAGCCATGGCTGGGCCAACTTTGCTGCGTGCTGCTCAGGACAGGACGGGCTGGTCCCAAGCGGCACACAGCAAAGCAGCATGTGGATCAGCCAGCTCAGCCATGTCTTTCCCTCTCTTGTGCCGACCTGGCCTGGCCCAAGTAGCACGTGGCAAAGTCGCAGCTTCCCCTTACCTCTGCCCACCCATCCTGAGTGGCATGTGGCAAAGCTGGCCCAGCAGCACACAGCGAAGTCAGCTCAGCTGCTGCTACCCCTTCCAGGTGCCAGCCCGGCCCAGCCCAAGCAGCACAGTGCAGCATGGTAGAAGCCCACACAGCAGCTGCTTTTCCTTACCTGGGTGGTAGGAGCCTGTCCAGTCCCATGCAGCGAGGCAGAAGCTGGCCCAGGCACCCCTTCCCCTCACTGATGCCACAGGATCTGGACCAGACCCTCCTGCCCCTCTCAAGCTGCATACCTGGCCTGACCTAGGGGTAGGGTGAGGCCAGCTGGGTTGGGCTGAGGTCAGGGTTGGTTGCCTTGCAGCCAGAACCCTAGTAAACAGCCCTAGGTGCCTGCAGCCGCCATTGCTAGGGGTCTGAAGGGGCTCCGCAGGCCGTAAGGAAGTACCTGGTGGGCTAGATCTGGCCCATGGGCCATATTTTGCCTGCCCCTGTTCTAGTTACTAATTCAACAAATGAAAAACAGTAGGACCAGGAACCTAACCAGTCTGTAGTAAGAGACAGGTGCTCTGGCTGGATTATAAGGACAGAATTTTATTCCTCTTTGTGATAAATGAAACTCACAGTGGTATTTTTTACACTTATGCACAATTTGGGTGGCATTCTATTGCCATTCTGGTTGTCCAGGTGTCCAGACCTGGCCATGTAGGTGGCATTTTTGGTTGTTTAAGTGCCAAAAATACCACTTACAAGCAGGCTAGAATTCTATTGCTGGATGCACTTCCATATGCACATGGACCACTATGGACAGCTACAAAGACATGTAGACTGAGCATGCACAGTAGCAGCCAGGGCACATGCTGTATTTACTTGAATACA